CAGGTTTTCAGATTTTCAGTCTGTAACAGTCTGAACTGTTAAAGAGAACAGCCTGACACAGAGAGACAGAGAGAGAGACAGACAGAGAGAACAGAGAGAGAGAACAGAGAGCGAGAGAGAGAGAGAGAGAAGAGAGAGAGAGAGAGAACAGAGAGCGAGGGGGGTTAAGTCGTGCTGTTTTCTTACCTGCTGCTGGGTCTGTGTGTTTGTTTGGTCTCCCCTCTCTCTCTCTCTCTCTCTGAACCTGCGGGGCAGCTCAGCCATACAGATTCTCTCTCTCTCTCACTCACTCTCTCTCACTCACTCACTCACGTACGCTCTCACTCACTCACTTACTCTCTCTCTCTCTCTCTCATTCACTCACTCACTTACTCTCTCTCTCTCTCTCTCACTCACAGACAGGTGTGTCAGCAGGTGAGGGACCTCTGAGCGCGCGCGCACACACACCCACACCCACACACTGACACAGGGGACTTTTATTTTGAATGAGTCATGAGTTGCTCTTTATTCCCGGCCTGTTGTTCTCAGGACAATGACGAAGCTTTAGGAGGAAGAAGGAACAGAAACGCTGAAAATGACTTCATTTGTTTATTTGTTTGTTTGTTTGTCTGTGTGGAGTAGAATAAGACCAACCCAGACTATCAGAATGAGTATATGATAACACATAAACTCACATAACCGCTGTGCGGAAATGCAGCCCTTCCACCTCCACTCGCAGAATCCGGGTAATGAGCATTACAGCGCTGAGATCGGACAGAGGTGGAAATCTGAACCATAACAATAATTAAGAGTCGCCCGTCCACGTGTTCCAGCGAGGCGCGGTGAAACCGAACCAGCTCAGCGCCTTCGCCTGCGCCTTCAGCCAATCAGCGCGCTGTACGACCACCAGCAGCCAATCACACACACGCGGGGTCACGCAGGGAGGCGGGCCTTCAGCCTAGCAGCGAGCAGGTTAGTGTGACTGTGTGTTTACATGCAGCAGCAGCGGCGCCGGACTAAAACCGAGCTGAGTAAACTGGGATAGAGAGGATAAACCGGGACAGAGAGAATAAACCGGGACAGAGAGAATAAACCGGGACAAGGAGAGTAAACCCGGACAAGGAGAGTAAACCGGAATAAGGAGAGTAAAGAGAGGGGTGTGGGAGCGCGATGAGCCGCCTGCTGCGCTGAGAGATGAGCGGTCTGTGTCGGGAAGTGGTCACTCTGCAGCTCGGACATTACTCCGGCTTTGTGGGCACTCACTGGTGGAACCTGCAGGTCAGATCACCCCATCACTGCTCTGTTCATCTGTTACTGTATTAATCTAATAACCTTCACTAAGGATACAGACCTGTTAATGATCAATTCTCTACACGCGCTGCAGTGCAGTTACAGACCACCCTGCGTTCACTTCATCAGTGGATTTAGTTGTTGTACTGTGTAAATACCTATTAAATATGCTTTTAGACAACATCCCTCACTGCCTAACTGGCTACTCATCACTCCTCACTGCCTAACTGGCTACTCATCACTCCTCGCTGCCTAACTGGCTACTCATCACTCACTCCTCACTGCCTAACTGGCTGTTCATCAGTCACTGCTTAACTGGCTATTCACCACTTACTCCTCACTGCCTAACTGGCTACTCATCACTCCTCACTGCCTAACTGGCTACTCATCACTCCTCACTGCCTAACTGGCTACTCATCACTCACTCCTCGCTGCCTAACTGGCTACTCATCACTCCTCGCTGCCTAATTGGCTACTCATCACTCACTCCTCACTGCCTAACTGGCTACTCATCACTCCTCGCTGCCTAACTGGCTACTCATCACTCCTTGCTGCCTAACTGGCTACTCATCACTCCTCACTGCCTAACTGGCTACTCATCACTCACTCCTCACTGCCTAACTGGCTACTCATCACTCACTCCTCACTGCCTAACTGGCTACTCATCACTCCTCGCTGCCTAACTGGCCACTCATCACTCCTCACTGCCTAACTGGCTACTCATCACTCAGTCCTCACTGCCTAACTGGCTATTCATCCCTCACTGCCTAACTGGCTACTCATCACTCACTCCTCGCTGCCTAACTGGCTACTCATCACTCACTCCTCGCTGCCTAACTGGCTACTCATCACTCCTCGCTGCCTAACTGGCTACTCATCACTCCTCACTGCCTAACTGGCTACTCATCACTAACTCCTCACTGCCTAACTGGCTATTCATCCCTCACTGCCTAACTGGCTACTCATCACTCCTCACTGCTTAACTGGCTATTCACTACTTACTCCTCACTGCCTAACTGGCTTCAAATCACTCACTTTTCACTGCCTAACTGGGTACTCATCGCTGACTCCTCGCTGCCTAAATGGCTACTCATCGCTCACTCTTCGCTGCCTAACTGGGTACTCATCACTCCTTACTGCCTAACTGGCTACTCATCACTCCTCACTGCCTAACTGGCTACTCATCACTCCTCACTGCCTAACTGGGTACTCATCCCTCCTCACTGCCTAACTGGCTACTCATCACTCCTCACTGCGTAACTGGGTACTCATCACTCCTCACTGCCTACCTGGCTACTCATCACTTCTTACTGCCTAACTGGCTACTCATCACTTCTTACTGCCTAACTGGCTACTCATCACTTCTTACTGCCTAACTGGCTACTCATCACTCACTCCTCACTGCCTAACTGGCTACTCATCACTCACTGCCTAACTGGCTATTCACCACTTACTCCTCACTGCCTAACTGGCTATTCATCCCTCACTGCCTAACTGGCTACTCATCACTCCTCACTGCCTAACTGTCTATTCATCACTCCTCACTGCCTAACTGGAATACATCACTTCTCACTGCCTAACTGGCTACTCATCACTTCTCACTGCCTAACTGGCTACTCCTCACTCCTCACTGCCTAACTGTCTATTCATCACTCCTCACTGCCTAACTGGCTACTCATCACTTCTCACTGCCTAACTGGCTAATCATTACTTCTCACTGTCTCACTGGCTACTCATCACTCCTCACTGCCTAACTGGCTACTCCTCACTCCTCACTGCCTAACTGGCTAATCATTACTTTTCACTGCCTCACTGGCTACTCATCACTTCTCGCTGCCTAACTGGCTACTCATCACTCCTCACTGCCTAACTGGCGACTCATCACTTCTCACTGCCTAACTGGCTATTCATCACTCCTCACTGCCTACCTGGGTACTTATCACTCCTCACTGCCTAACTAACCTCTCATCACTCCTCACTGCCTAACTGGCTACTCATCACTTCTCACTGCCTAACTGGCTATTCATCACTCCTCACTGCCTACCTGGGTACTCATCACTCCTCACTGCCTAACTAACCTCTCATCACTCCTCACTGCCTAACTAACCTCTCATCACTCCTCACTGCCTACCTGGGTACTCATCACTCCTCACTGCCTAACTAACCTCTCATCACTCCTCACTGCCTAACAGGCTACTCATCACTCAGTCCTCAGTGTCTAACTTGGTACTCATCTTTCACTCCTGTCTTACTTTTTTTAAGGATGCGTCTTTGTGTTATGACCCAGACCTTCCTCCGGGGGAGCTGCAGAGTGACGTTTTGTTCAGAGAAGGCCTCACACTCGGGGGTCAAGTGACCTACACCCCCCGCCTCATCGCCCTTGACCTTAAAGGTAATCGAGCAGCCAACATGATCCATTCTTAACATCTTCGCCCCTGATGTACCAAACTTTCATAGTTTTTGTGGTGTGCACCTCAGGATTGGCACGAGTTGGCTGTTGTCAGTGCCGTTGGTGAAAGAGAGTTCTGTGATTGGCTGTTCAGCTAGAAAAGCACATAAAGAGAAACTCACAAAATTAGCATAGCATGTTTGTTTTTAGTTAGTCTCATATATTGTTACATGGATCACATGAGCACATATATAGAGCATTTTAAAGCAAGTGAAACAGTAGAAGCCATATCGCCCCCTACACTTCCTGTAGTGTATTACAGTTTGTCAGAGTGACTGTGTGGATCATATGAACATTATGGAGGCTTTTTAAATGAAACAGTAGAAGCCATATCGCCCCCTACACTTCCTGTAGTGTATTACAGTCTGTCAGAATGACTGTGTGGATCATATGAACATTATAGAGGCTTTTTAAATGAAACAGTAGAAGCCATATCGCCCCCTACACTTCCTGTAGTGTATTACAGTCTGTCAGAGTGACTGTGTGGATCATATGAACATATAGAGCTTTTTAAATGAAACAGTAGAAGCCATATCGCCCCCTACACTTCCTGTAGTGTATTACAGTATATTAAAGCACAGAGCACGTTGTCCGCTGATCAGTGAAACACTAATTCATGTGAAGTTTATCTGCTCGTTTTTTGCCATAATGTCTTTGTTTCCTTCCTCAGGGAGCCTTCAGACGCTGAAGAAGGAAGGCAGTCTGTATGCCACAGAACAGGACTCGAACACCTTAACATGGTCTGTGTTTCTTATCTATAAACCTTTTATCTGGACAGTATAAAGCTTGTTTTTGGTTGTGAAAACACAATATATCATTAGAATAGGTTCAACCAAAGATTAATGTTGTCAAACAGAACAAGAATTTTGGATTGGATTGGATTTGGTACTGGATATTTCTTAAGCTAGAACATAATTCTGGTTCCCGATTTCTCCTGGATGCATCCAGCCATCACACACCTCTGTTACAGTGTTTTATTTGCCCCTCTGAGCTACACATAACGTTTATGTGGTTCTAAGTAGCATGAACAGCTATAAACCACTGTAGTTATGTTGTCAATTTGTAGTCCACTCCATGCTCTTAGGGTCTGAGCTCCGTTTCTCTATGGCCAGAATGAATAGGGTTTTTGAAAAATCTAGTCTAGCGCCCCCTGTGTTAAATTCAAATGTTCAGAACCCGATTCGTTCTGTCCTGTGAACATTCTTCTCCCGAACATCACTGGATCCTCTGAGTTACGAGGTCGATAAAGAGTTGAAATATGAATATTGCTCCATGAGAGCTA